AGAAGTCTGTGCAAAGGGAGAGTTTGATCACTCTAGGGAGGACCCATTATAGGGGGGCCCTACGAGTAGGAGACTGCAGTAGCATTGACAGTACAGAGTAGGGCTGCAAAGTTTGTTCATCCACTGATAGTTGCTCAGTTTGCATTGGCTAGTAAACATTATGCTGTGTGGTACTGGGCTTAAGTGTGCAGGCTCTGAGTTTTCTGCCATGCAGAGCAAGTTATTGAAGCTCTTATTGTCTCATTTTCCTTATGGGCAAAATGTGATAATACCCATCTTTGTGGTAAGAATTGAATGTTAATATATGCAAAGCACTTAAAACACGTCCTGGCTCATACTGAATGGTATAAATGTTACATTGAGTAATAAAAATAACAGTGATCTTTGAGAATGAACGATTAAAATCTCAAGGTCAAGTCTCGTTATACAGCAACATAAAATAAGAAGGTAGAGGTGATGAAACTGACCAGGGCCTATCCTGAAATTACTTTTTTGAAATAGGGCTGGATTTTAACTTCTGTTCCTATTCTTTTTTCCTCTGCCCCCCTCAAGAAAAACTTACTTGAAAATTAATCAGAACTTCTGGTTAATCACATCTTAAACATATACCATGTTTTGGAGACCCTAAGAATTAGAGACACTTTTTAAAGTAATAACCTATGTGAAGAAAAGCATACAATTTTACTGAGACATAAAAAGGTAATGAGTCTAAATATGGAGGAAGTGCCAATGCTTTACAAATTAACATACCTACTTAATATAATTTGAATTACTATCCTAGTGAGAAGAAATTTTAAAATTCATACAAAAAATAAACAAGCAAAAATAATCAACAATTTTTTTAAAAAGGAGATAAATGAGGGAGGCTAACTCTACCAGAAATTAAAGCATGCTCTAAAACTACAATAAACAAAACATGAGAATTTATTACTAGATTAATGAAATAGATCATGTGGCTCCTAATGTAGTCATTTTCAAAAATAGGAGCTTTTTCAAAGAATGCATGCCACCCCCTGGCAATTATGGCATGCCTTTCTTTGGGATCAAACCCTCCAGTTGTAAATCATTGCACATTTTGCCTTTGTATTTTGTGGAAATAGAAAAAATAGTAAGAACCACTTACCCACAATATATAAGAATTTAGCATATGATTAAAAGTCTATCTCAAATTAATTAAAGTATAGAATATCCCATAATTCATACTGAGAGAAATGATTAACTATTTGGGAAAAAAATTAGAGTTTCCCATCAGAATTTGTACCACATATATTCCAGAAGGTTTCTTAAAATTTTTTTTACTTCAAAATATTAAGGGGGTACAAATGTATTATGTGGATCATTTTTGTAAAGCCTGAGTCCTGGCTATAGATATGCCTGTCGCCCAAATAGTTAGTGTTCATAGTACCCATTAAGTTGGCTTATTCTCCCACTCCTACCCCCTCCCCCTGGTTGATTTCCACTGAATTTTACTTACCTCTGTGCACTTGTGTGCTCATTGGTTAGTTCCAATATAATAGCGAGTACATGTGGTATTTATTTTCCATTCTTGTAATACTTCACTTAGGAGAATGGTTTCCAGTTCCATCCAGATTGTTGCAAAAGGTATTAATTCATCTTTTTTATAGCCAAGTAGTATTCCATGGTATGTATATACCACATTAATCCACTCATGAATTGATGGGCACTTGACATTTTTAAATTACTACATCAAATACTGCAGTAATGTTTTATAATACCATATGCTGACTATACATAATATAAAGTTAAAAATTGTTTTGGTGAATTTAAGTTTGTAGCTATAGCAGGAAGACACTAAATTTACAGCATTTCTTATACTTTCAAGAATCTTTTCCTTTACTTTAATGAAGCCACAAGCATTCTGCTGCTGTGCTTTTTAAAACAAGGTTGAAGGGGAAACATCAGGCTAGCTGCCCTCTCTCTCCCTTTCAGAAATGGAATGAGTCCGTGGGTGGTCACCAAACTGGGAGGGTTTGACAGTGCTGACTCTGTGGTGAGGTATGGTGCAAACAGGCTAATTTCCTTATACCACTTGTCAAGTTAGAGGAAGGGGGAGAAGAAGAAGCCAGATCCTCACTTATCCCTCCCTGGGCATTAGGCAAAACTGTGCAGATTCCAAGAGGAAATGCTCCAAGTTGAAGTCAACTCATGGTATCGCCTTGGTCTTTGGCTTGGCACATTACCGAGGAGTCCATTTGTAAACTGGGTCACATATTTGACAACAGGAGGGATAGTTGAAGTGGTATTATCCTAGAAAAATCTGTAACTCACTTATGAAACTCCAGAAATTCCTTGTTTCCTACTCTTAAAGGTGAAGTTAGTTGATGCTATACAGGTAATTTGGATTAATTACCTGTGTGGTTTTTCTTAAGAATGTGGGCTGTGGACCAGTCCAGCAAGAGAACATGTTAAAGCCCAGAGATCACGGAAAAACTTGTGCTCAAACCATCCTCTTCATCTTTGTGGTGAATGGGAGGTAGGAGATGTGAAATGGTAAAGCCTCTGGGTAGCGTGACAAAGCGACTCTGTTTTTGGTTTTCATGGAATACATGATTAATCCATTGAATGATGCCAGCACCATGATCTGTGTGGTAGGAGAACCAGAGGCCAGAAATATAGCATGGTGGCTAAGAGTATGAGATCAGCCTTCAGACAGTCTAGATCCAAATTTTGTTTCTATTACCATGCATGTAATCTTGGGCTAGTTACAAAACCTTTGCATGCCTATATTTCCTAATCCCTAAAATGGGACTAATTATACTTGACTCTATTAAAGAAAAAATTATTCAAATAATGCTTGTGAAAGCACCATAAAAAAGACTTTATTCACGACTATCGCTGTGGGCATAGGGACCACTGTAAGTGGGGGACAGGGGTAAGGCTCGACTGGGAATACATCGCGGGCAAGTGGGAATTCATAGCCACGGAGCACAGTGTGTGAGGTCAACGGATGGAAAACTAGCAAGAGGAAATATCAGGGTTGAGGGGGATCATGGCTAAAGCAACCTAACAGGATGGTTGTAGGAGACAGGCTGGGGTGAGCAGACATCACGTGGGACTGAGGAGGATGAGAAACCTGTTCAGCTACGAAGGAAGGGTTGGGGTTTCTCTGTACACTGACCTAGCAGGGTTCTTTGCTAAAATTGGATTTTACAAGAAAGTGCACAGATGGGCCTGGTAGAAGATTCAAAAGCCTGAATAAAATTTGGTCAAGCAAAGAATCTCTGTCACCTCAGGGCTGTGGTGAGAGTTTTATGACATATGTTATCAACCTCAGCATGGTGCCTGATCCAGACGAAGTGCTCAATACACTTTTTTACCTATTGACATCAAAGCACTTTAAAGTTGACGAACACTTCACTGACAGACCCTTTTCACGGGGCAAGCGCCAGAGTGGCAGGGGACTGTATCTCTGGGAGGCGGCGCTGAGGAAAGCTGCATTTATTTGCACAGCGGCAGGAGGGGGACCCTGTGTGCGTGTACCAGGGTCTCGGGGAGGGCAGGATGCGCCCCCTAACCTCCAGCTCAGCTGTTGCGCGATCTCCCAAGCCCTCAGCCTATCCGTCAAACGGACGCTGAGCAAACATCTAAAGAATATTCGATGAGGCCAAAGTATCAGGCTGCCCTTGGCAACAGCACGTGGGGCAGGCCGGGCGCACACAACAAACGCCGGAGTCGCGCGTCGCCGTCAGCGCCCAGCACCGCTCGGCGCGGTTTCCGCGCACGGACTCACTCAAAGGCATCCTGTCCCCACTTTCCGCACAAGCAGCCTGCCCAAGGTCACGCAGCCGCCGAGGACCCGGCCGGACCCGAGCCCGCGCGCCGGGAAGGGCGGGAGGCCGGGGACCGGGGGGCGAGCGGCGAACAGCCCCTCGCGCGCCCACCCCGGCCCCGCGCGCCAACGCTCCGGAGTCCCCGCGCGCAGCCGCCGGCCGCGGCCCGCGGTCCCGCCTCGACCCCGCCTTCCGCCCGGAAGACCCCCGCGCCCGGGCGTCGCGGGCGAGGGGCGCGCGCACGGACGAGACCGCACCGCGGCGCACGCGCACACGCGGGCACTCACTCGCCCGCCGCCCAGGAGGAGACGCGAGGCATGGAAAGTTCCAGCCGGTTCGAGAGCCCTAGGTAGCAGGCGCGGCGGAGGGGGCGCGGTCGCGAGAAGGCGGGCGGCCTCCGCTGCCCGCTCCCGGCCGAGCCCGCCGCAGTGCCCCCGCGCCGCGGCAGCCGGCGGGACGCGGTCCGGCGGGGCGACGCCGCGGGCGCGGCCGGGGAGGCGCGGCGGCCGGCGGGGCGGGGGCGGGGGCGGCGCGCCGGGGCCGGCGGGCGGCCGCGGCGCGTCGAGGGGGCGTGGCGCGCCGTCTGCGCAGCTGCCAGAGCCTTTAAGCCCGGGCTCGCGCGGCCGGAGCGTGCTTTCGCCGCCCGGCCCCGTGCCCGCCAGGTCGCTGCCGTCCCCGCGGTCCCGCCACTCCACGTCCCGGGAGCAGGCTCGGCCCGGAGCCGCGCGCCGCGCCTTCTGGCATGCCCCGCTACGAGCTGGCTTTGATCCTGAAAGCCATGCAGCGAGTAAGTGACCTTCCCTCGGAGCCGGTCTTCCCGCGCGGGCGCCCCCGCCGCCGCTAGGCCGCCGGCCCCCGCGCGCCCCGGCCGCGGGATCCGCTCCCACGCAGCCAGAAGAGCCGGGCGGCGGCGGCGGCGTCCCGCGGAGGGGCGCGCGTGGGCCGGCTCCGGCCGCCGTGCGCGCGGGAGCCGGGTTGTGCGCGCGTGTGCGCGGCCGCGGAGGGTGTGCTTCCACGCGGGCGGGCGGGGCGGCGGCCCGACGGGCCCGCCCGCCGGCCCGCGGGAGTCCACTGGAAGGCCCGTGGGAGGACACGCGCGACAGCCCAGCCCGCCTCGGCCTCGGCCCGCCCCCGCTCGTCGTGAAGCCGCCTCGTCGCCGTCCCCGCCGCCCGCTCCGTCCCGCTCCGCCGCCCGCCGGCCTTCGCCGCCCGCCTCCACTCTAGCGCCCGCCCGCCGGCCGCCCTGGGACGCCGGCGCTCAATAAAGCGTTCCTCCAAAGCGTGTCTGTGCACTTGTCTGTACCGCGGTCGCTTGTAACCGCTCTCACGTTAAAAAAACAACAACCAAAAAAAAAAAAACCTTTGATTTCTCTTTTTCTGACTTCAGCGAAAATCCTGCTCCGGGTGCCTTTAGCCCAGTTTCATTCATCCAAGTTGTGGCCTTTCTTGCGCCTTCAGAAGACACTTTTCTCCCCACTGCTTTTGATTGATCTTGAGGTAGGGGATTTCAGGTTTGGAGGGATGATAAGCGAACCAGCAGCCCGTTCACGTCAGGTGATGGCGTGGCCAAGGACAGGGGCCCGCGGCCCGGAGGCAGCTCTTCGTCCTCAGTTCTGGGTCAGGTGCTTCTCAAGTCGTCGCTGAAATCCCCATCCTCCTGTGAGTTCGGTAACGTAGAGTGTGATGTCTGCTTCTCCCTCTCTGCCCCCACCCGCAGGTATAATAAACGAAAATCGTTGTACTACGTGTGAACTTCGGAAGCTTAGCTTCCTACAGCGATAGAGGTGTGGATACATTTTTATATTTGATTCAGGCTTTGGGTCAATTGTGAAGCGTACCTGTTACCTAGTTTGGTTGAACTTAAGCCAGGCATTATGGTCCAGGCTCTTTTGATGAAAACGAACAGTCAGGGAGCATAGGAGATTGTCAGAAAGTGTGCTTTGCACTCTGTCAACTGGCAAAGACACCAGGGCCTCTTGACCAGGGCTAGACAGTCTGGCCGGGCATGCCATTCATTGTGTCCCCAAGCTTGTTCCTGAATTTGGGAGAAGTTAGGATTGTATTGTTTAGCCTCTTGAGTATCCCCTTTGGTTCTCCTCCCTCCTTAACCAGTGTATACAGCTTAAAAGGATAGGAACAATAGAAAAGAAAACAGCAAATTATTGAAAAGGAAACATTTTTAATTAAGTGGAAATTGTCTAAGCCCTCCCTTTAACCTATGCTTTTAAGAGATGTAGAACCTGGGAAATGTGGTTACTGAAGTTTTTTTTTGTTTACCTTGTCTTAGGAAGGTAGCAGGTGATCACTGAAGAGGCAACAGGCATAATGTTGCGTGTTCCATAAACCTTTGATGTAAGACTCTGCACTCCTTTGTTTCTGGCATAGCTGCCCAGTACCTTGGTTAACATGAATGCAAGTATATTAGTTAACTTTATTTCCTTTACTATGCTACTTGGATTTTTTTTTTTTTTTGTATCCTGTAACCACCAGGATTCACAGTCTTTGGGTGTGGAGCATACAGGTTTTATTGTAGTTCAGGTAAGCCAAGTGTAGTTTGAATTAAAAGAATAAATACCTTCCTTGAAATCCTTACCTGAGGGCAGAGGGCAAAAAAAAACCAAAACCCACCTAGAAAGCAAGTAATAAAGGTGAACTGCTTCTTAGCAGAGACAGAAGGGGAGGGGTGGCTGGGGCAGTAGATGGAAGGGTTGTATCAATGGTTAAGTTGTGTTGAGGAGATCCTTGACTTAAATAAAGTAAGATTAAAACAACAAACATTTTTCATTTGTTTTGTTCAAAGACTTACATTTGAGTTAAAGGAGGATGAATACTTGGGGGAAAATGAATGAAAAAATTTAGGTTTATTTAATGTAAAATGCAACTGTGAACTTGCACACATTAGCAGCTCTTGGGGAAACCTCAGTTGTAAGCTGAGGCAGTTTGTGCTTCTGCAGAAAGGCTATTGTAACTCCTCAATTCTAAGAACACATCTTTGATGTTTTTGGATTCCGAAATGTATACCTCTTAAGGTACCCCTTTAATGTGATGGTTTATTTTTCCTCCTCTCCACCCCAGAATCATTTATGTATCTTGGAATTGAGGAATATGCCATGTTAGGCAACTTTTATAGCAGATGGGTCAGTTAAGAGATCGTACTTTTCCAGGCTTTTCTTGGAGTCCCAGAAACTCCTCTTTCTTTCCTGTAGTAATGTATAAGCCTGAAGAGCATTCTTAGTCTCTTTGGAGGGTGTTACTCCCCCCTGTCTCCTAGCTTGACTCCTTAAAATTGAACATAAACAGAGTTTTTAAGTTTAATATATGGATACTGTATTGAGACCCTCACAACATTTGCATTGTAATAAAGTCACTTGTGGGAGCTCCCACTGAATGTCAGATTTTAGAGTGTAGTATGTAGAATAGGTCCTTACTGAACTGTACAGTTGTGTGTTAATCACTCAGAAATTCCAATACTGTCTTTCTCAGTTTGCAATTCAGAGTTGATTATAATGAGTCTCTGCTTTTGTTGCAAATACCTGTCCTCCCAAGAAGAAATTTATTTAGTTTGATACCATTTAGTTTGAATTTTAATATATGTATTTAAAAAAATTACTTCTATTTTCTCTGTACTTCAACATGAAAAGTAGTTAAAAGTGTTAAATTCTGAAATATGACACAGTAATGATGTTGTCAAACTAGGCCTTTAAGGGTGATGACAAGCAATTTGAAAAAGTAGTTCCTTAGACCAGTCTTAGACCCTATTTATAGAAGAGTCTCCAGAATAAAAAGATGGTTAAAGTCCTGTTATATCAGATAGCATTAGAAGAGTTTTATTCACTTTTGGAAAATGTAGTATTCAAAGGCTAAATGTGGAAGGACATAGCCACAGAGGAAAGACCAAGGCTGCAAATTCTCAGGCAGTCTCATTGTAGTAGAAGGAAGACCTTTTCTGACATCTGAGAAAGAAATGGATTGCCTGTGAGATGGTGAGTTCTCTCTCCACCTCCACCTTGTCCTCCCGCAGTGGAAACTTTCAGGTAGATGAGCACGGGTCATGCATTTGGTGGGTGAGCTCTGAGACTGATTCCTGAGTCCCCTCTCTTGAGAGTCTGGGAAAATGGTTGACATCCTTTAGTTTCACTTTGTAATAGATTTTAAGGATTCATTTTTAATTTCAGTTAGGTAAAAGACTGAATTACTAACACATGAATGATAAAATGTATACTTTGTAGAGGAGCTTAGAAAAAGCTATGTAAACCTTGTAGATAACTTTTATGCCTGTGATGGGTGCAGGAAGAATAATTTTGAGAAAAATCTATGCGGTACATATATACACATACATACTTTGATTGCTTAGTTTAGGAACAGTTTAATTATCATGTCTCACTTTGTTTGCCCAGAAGATGATTACAATTAGCATGGCTAGATTTATGAAAGCCTTGGGATAATAATTTTCCTGAGGTCTTTTCATCACCATTCAGGAATTTTTACATGAAGAATTGAAGGTTAAATGGTTTAAATAATAACTAGCTTAATAGCTAAATGAATGCATGCACAATAAAATGGCAATATCTATCCTGTTGTATATGTTTTCCTAAGGAATAAGTAAGGAGATAACTATTTGGGAAATGTTAAGTTTTTTCTCATTAAAACAAACTTTGTAAGTTTGTTTTTCATAAGTTATTTTTATGTTCAGTACTCCCCATTTATTTTAAATTTCATTGAAAAGCAGGTTATATTTTATAGTAAGAGAACTCATTGAGGTAGTTATTTGTGGGTAAAGAGTTGCATGATGTGATCTGAGTTTAACTTAAGCCCAGCTTTTATTTAGATATAGAAAAGTGTAATGATAATCACTTCCTAAAATGTAGAAAGCAGTAGGTTTTCTGGTTGTGTGGTGAAGAATGTATCCTTTTTCTCTTCACTGAAGCCTTTTTGATTAGAAAACCTGGCAAAAGTTTTGTATTCTAAAGTGTGCAAGTTAGGATATTCTGAAAGTGATACCTACAAAATGTTTGCAATTTAGGTACCTTTTGGAGGTGTAGGGTACTGATGAACTTATGGGTCTGGCCACCCTTAGGTCATTCTAGCTTGGCTTGCTTGGCAACATTTGATAACAAGGAAAGAGTGAAATTTCTGCTGTTAGTTGGTGGGAGACATCACTTCAAATGGAAACATCTTCTAGCTGTCAGGTGGCCAAGTCAAGTCTTTTTTCTTCTCATGAGCCCTCCCTGAATAGCTTAGCCTTGTGTCTTTAATAATCTCTCTGTGTTTTGTCTGCTTGAAGCCAGACAGCTTAAAATAGTTATTCAGTAATGCAAAACTTGAGCCTGTGGACAATGTTATATACTTTCATTTGGTATTAAAGTTTTCTTGGGTTACAGCTATTGCCGCAGCAAGTGATTGAAGAAGGAATCCTGTTCCTGCCCCTGAGCTACAGCTAAAGTACAAGGAGTGGCTTGGGGGTAAGGAGTCCTTCCTCACCACCTATGGTTTGTATGTATGAAGACAATTCCATGAAAACTGATTGTCAGAAGTTGACATTCTGCACTAATTTTGTTCTTAATTGTTATTCATGACTCACATTCAATACTGGTGTGTATAGGTTTTTTAAAAATGTAGGTTGTATTTTGTATTGTGGGCTGCTATTGAATTTTCTCACTTTAAATTGAAAAATCACTTTAAAGAAAACTGAGTTCAAAAGCGATGACGGACAAATTCTAAAGTGATATTTTTTCATGTAGTGCCTTTGGTGTGTTCATTCTAAAAGTATAACTTATCTAAAAACTATAATACAGAAATGGGGTTTAACATCAAGGTAGAAGGAAGAGTAGAGGGCATGATGAATTACTGTGGTGTGATTACTCATATTTTTTATAAAGCTGTTGTAATTTATTAAACTTTTCCTAGTTCGTTATTGGCTTTGTGTTAGAATTCATTTCTAATATTCTCATGAGTTTATCTGTTCCAGATTAGGAGTACTTCCTATTAGTGGAAGACAATAGTTTTAAACCAGTAGTTATCAGCACATGTAGTTATCTTTTATTTAGGGGAATTAAATTTAAGGAATTAGATGAATATCTGGTAAGTCATCAATTTATCTAAAGGGAGAACTACCCTTGGGAAAGGTCAGTTGCTCTTAACTTTGAGCAGGAATTGGCCAGATCTGACTGGCCATCTATATTTTTATGGCCTATGAGTCAGAAAGGATATTGCAGTTAAATAGTTGAAAAAAATCAAAAGAACAATATTTTATTGTGTGTGAAAATTATGTGAAATTAAAGTTATATTGGAACATTATCTTGTTCCTTTGTTTATGTTTATTACCTGCTTGTTTACAGAAGAAAATTTCCTAACCCTGATTTAGAGTATACAGACAGAATTTTCTAGGTTCAGCATTTCTCTTGGCTTCTTATGGTGCTGTTTCTGACATTTCTTCCTTGATCCCTCCCTTTCTGTTTTCTTCATGTACTATGCCTTTAACCTTCTGATGGAAGATTTGCTGTTTTTCTGTAACAAGCTGACAACTCAGGCATTTTCCTACTGCTTTCTGTGTTGGTTATAGCCTGGATGTCCCCTTGTTACCGCAAACTCAGTGTAGCTCAAAACATAATGAGTTGCTTACCCTACCTGTGTCTTCTGTCATTTGGGACTGAACACATGCAATTCTTTCTTTTCCTGTGGTGTCAGTCCTGTATAGTCTCTCCTCTGCCTTAGTTGAACTGGTCATGTTTCTTTCTTGAACTCTTGAAGTTTCTTAGCTGGTCTCTTCTGATGTACTCCTGAGGAGAGAATAGTTAATGTCTGTAAATATGCTTGTTGGGTTGCAAAAATATATGTCTTTGAGATACTTTAAAAGAACTAAGCAGATACATTTTTAACAAGGAGATAATAGAAAGCATTGTATGGTGATGGCTCTCTGATTCCCATACTGGTTGATTGTGTCAACTCTGCTGCCAAATCACAGCATATATGTCTTTCTCAAAGGCATTCAGAAAGAGGTCTGGCATCCAAGACTCAACTTGGTTTTTTAACCTCATCTCTCTCCTTCCATTCTCCATTCCATATACTGAGTAAACAGAGCTATAGTAGATCCCTGTAAATACCAGTCCCTTTTATTTTATTTGGTGCCTTACGCTGCTTTTCTGTTTGGAATGCCCTCCCTTTCCACATTACCCCATCACCTCCATGAAAACATTTCTCAAGTTCATTCTAACTCATTTTGGTACATTAAACAAACATCGAGGACTGGCACTGCTGTATAGACTGTAGTCTTTCCTTTGGTTGCATGGTGTTTTTCTGTCTATCATCACATGGACCACTTTTCACTTTGTATTCCAGTTAATTGGTGAATG